GGAAGGAAGGAAGGAACGGGGCAGAGGAGGGAACGGGGAGGGAGGGAAGGAAGGAAGAGATGGAGGGGAAGGAAGGAGGGAGGAGGGGAAGGGACGAACGGAGCATAGGAGGGAACGGGAAGAGCGAGCTGCTGTGGGGCGGGGGCTGGGTGTCGCCGGCTCTCTGTCGCCTCCTGCAGGCTGACGCAGGCTCTGCCTCCAGGGATGAGCACGGTGCCAGAGGTGCTTGTGGCCCGGCACTGCGGCCTGCGCGTCTTCGGCTTCTCTCTGATCACCAACAAGTCGGTGCTGGAGTACGGGACCCGGGAGAAGGCCAACCATGCCGAGGTGCTAGAGGCCGGGCGCCAGGCCGCTCTCAAGCTGGAACGCCTGGTCTCCGTGCTGCTGGAGCGCATGAAGGGCAAAGGTCTGGTGTAGCCGGCGGGGGGGGTCCCTCCCCTGGCAGGTGGGGGGTCCCTCCCCTGGCATCCGCCTCCAATGCAAACTGCTGCCCTGCCCCCTCCCCTGCCGCTCGCTCTGCTAGCCTGCCCCCCACTCTTGATTTTGTGGCCGTTGCTCCCGGCTCCCATGTACGCTGATCTCAGCCCAGAGCCCCCTCGAGCAGCCCCTGACCCCCATCCCTTCCCCCATGGGGGGTGTCCGAGCCTGGTGTCCTGTGGCGCTCACACCATGGCCGCTGGAGTCCCGCAGACCATGGGATTCCCGCCCAAGCCCGTGTCTCAGTTCCAACCCCCAGTACCGCCCCCCTCCAGGGATGCAACCCTGGACGCTCCGCCCAAAACCACCTGCCTTGATCGCTGGCACTACCAGGGAGTGTCACCTGGCCGGTGACCCCGCAGAAGACCCTGCGTTCGGGCCCATAGGCTGAGATGTGCGGGAACGCCACTCCTAAATCCCCTGGGCGGTTCGCCTGTGCTGCCCACTCACAGACAGGGGAACATCTTGGGGGTGATATCCAAACCCCCTTTCTCACAGCTGGTGCCCTGCTGGGGAAGGGACCAACCCTCAGCTCAGTGCTGAGGAGGTGGGGACGGCTGCCCAGCCCCGTCCGGGTGCCAGGCCATGTTCGGTGCAGGTGGGAGCCGGCCCCTTCTTCACATTCCCACGTTGGGCCATTCCGGCTGTTCTGCAGTGATGTGTTTTGTTACCAATGCTCAGTTTGCAGCTGGGATGATTCAGAGCTGCCACAGAAATGGGGAGCCCCCAATGAACTGGGGGTTCGGCTCCCCCAATACCAGGCAGCTCTGCCCCTCCCCGCCCTGCTGCATTTTATCATAGGACCACTCCACGGCTGCATTCTGTCAGTTGCGCACATTGCTAACAATACAACAATGACAGAACAAGGGAGTCTTACGGCTGAGTTTGTTTGACAGCATTTTGGAGCGGGTTTATGCGCTGTAGGGGCGGGGCTTGGCTTGCGAGGGGTGTGGTCTATTTCTGTGTCCTCTCCTGTCTTCCCACACCCCGCAGCAACCCCGCACCTCTGTATGCTGGAGGGAGGGGTTGGGTCCTTGGCCAGTTAACGCCAGTTGCCACAGTGCGGGGCCGCCTGCCCCGTTGGCTACTGATAGGTGAAACCCCCTGGGTCGGATCCTATAGAACCCGGGCAGGCAGGGGGAAGGCCCCATCGCCAATCAGCTGTCACATGATGTCCCCCATCTCTGTCCCCCCAGATACCTCTCCACCCATCCCCGTGTGAACCCCTTTAGCCCGCCCCTCTGAGCATCTGAACCCCTTGGGCTGCTCCTCCATCCAACCATCCCAGGCTGGGCGGGAGTCATGGCTAGATTAACGGGAGGGTCGCGTGGCAGAGAGGGTTGGACAAGCCAACATCAGGGGTAGTCTAGGGTCACTTGGCCCTGCCTCAGCGCAGGGGATGGACTAGATACCACGCAAGGTCCCTTCCCACCCGCCGTGTCGGTGATTACAGGACCCCAGCGAGCCCCCTCTGGGGGTATCTGAATCCCTCTCGTCTTCTCTGACCAACCCCTGTGCACATCCGCTCTCAGCGCATAGACCCGGCGGCTCCTGCCGTTGAGTGGGTGGACCCAGCTCTCTCTCGAGCACAGCAGAGCGCCCACGTCCTATGCCAGAGGGGCCCAACTAGAAACCCCGGGTGCTTTTGGTGTCCTTTGCCCAGTGAATCCATGTCTTGTAGGTGCTGGGCCCTCAAATCCTGCCCTGTGGAGCTGGTCCTGAACCCCTCACAGATTTTCCCTTGCCTTACTAAAGGTGTCCTGGATGGGAACCAAACTGAGGCCTGTCCCAGGGGAAGGGGGCAGCCATCCCCCAGGATTGCATCCTGGCTCGTCAAGCGTTCATCTGCATCCGGTTCTGGGGACGACGACCTTGGCTGAGTGGGCAGAAGAGAGACAGTCGTGGGGAGGGGGCTGGTGGGCAGCAGCTGCTGAGGAGAGCTCGGTATGATAAAGCGTCAGCCAAGGCCGGGTGTTGGGTTCCTGGATGGGGCTGCCACGATACAGCCAACCCCAGCATGCCAGGGAACCGCCCGCCTGGATCAGTCCCCGGGGCTTCTCTCGGAGAGTGCCAGCGAAGTCAGGGGAAGGCGCCAACGCTCTGCGGTAGCAGACAAGGGACAAGCTGCCCTCACAAGAGGGCACCGGCCAGTCTCTCCAGCTTCTTATGGGCCTGGTTCAAGCCTTGCTCTGAAACCCCTGGACCGAAGGGTCTCCAGAGGCAGTGGAGGCACCGTGCCCTGCCCCCAGTGGCAGCAGAATTTCAGCCCCTTTCTCCAGCGGCTGGGTTTGTTTCCCAGACCTGAGAGAGTCAAAGAGGCCCAGGGGGCACCGGCTGCTCCGGTCCCTCTCTGTGCCCCAGTGTGACTAACCCCGGGCCCAGCAGCCCTATGGGGCTGGCCCAGCCTGGGACTGCGCCATGACTGGCCCCCTTGCTCCGCAGTGGAGCCGTGGGTCTGATATAGGGCCTTCACATGCATCTCGTGGGCTCCCAGGCAGAGCAAACTTTCCTGGCATTAACAACCTCTGAGAGGGTCCCCCGGGGCTTTGGGGTCCTGGTGGGAATGGGTCTGCCAATTAGATCTGCCTCAGTACCCACCAGGGGCTGATTAAGACAGCGTGGCTCGTTAGCATCTGTCAGGGGCAGAGGGGAGAAGGGAGCTTGTTAGCTCCACTAATAACCTCCCCTGGGCATCAGCCTAGCTGGGAAAATATTAGACTGACTGGTGCCAAGCTGAGATGGGGCAGAAGGGGCCGGTACATAAGCCAGGAGGGCGATTGGCCCAGGAGCCTGGCAGTAGGGCATTCGGGATGGGACTGGCAAGGGGCCTCTAAACCCCTGACTGCCAGGCTGCTCAGGGATCTCAGCCACGAGCCCTCCCCTAGAGTTCAGTGCTAGCTCAGCTTCGGGGGGCAGGGAGATCGGGAAAGACGCACCCTTGGCATCCAGTGGCCTGGCCATGGCATGGGGGCTGTGTGAAACCTGGTTCCAGGGCTTTGGTTTAGAGCAGAGACGCTCAGGTGGGTTTCCCACCTCCCCGGATTACATAGAAGGCCGATGTGATGGGGTGTGCTCATGCCAGCTGTGAGAGCACAGAGGTGGGCCAGGGAACAAACTGGGGCAATTCTGAGTGGAAGGAAAAGCCCTAATTAGGGGGAGGCACATCTGAGCAGGAGTGGGTGGGGCTAGTCTAAACCCAGGGAGCTGGCAGCAGCAAAGGCTGCTGGGAGAAAGTTGGTGGTCACCCTCTGTGTAGTAGAGAGGGCAGGAGGGAACCCTGGGGGTCTGGCCTGGTTGGATGGAGAAGAGATCATATGGGCTGCAGGAAGGTTGGGGACTCGGCTCTTTGAGCTCTGGTCAAGTGTCGGTAGTCTCTTGGTCTATCCAAGGCCATGATCAAGTGTCTTGATGTTTTGGTCTTTTGGCCTCGAGATGAAAACCTTGCCTTTGTTTCTGGGACCTTGAAGTGAAAAAATTCTCTAAGTTAGACCTTGGCTGCATGTTGTAGAGTCCTTGGCCTGGAGCCTGGAGCAGTGAGTGGGCCTGGGTTTCCTTACTGCTAGTGAGTAAGGGGCAGCGGTGGGGCAGTGAGCTGTGTTGCTGCAGGAGTTACTGGCTCAAGGTACTGGGTGTGAGGCTGGCCCGATGCCCCTCCAACAGAAGAGATTTGGAAGGACTCTGCATGGAAGGTGGCAGTGCTGAGGGACCTGGCTGGGGGGCTAAAGCATGGAGAGGCTGCAGCAGCAAGAGATGTGTGACTACAGGAAGGGGCTGTCAGCCTCACGGAGTTAATCCCTGGGATGGTCAGGAGGAGGTGCCGTTCCAGCGGTGAGCCGGACCCGGGAGAGTGGGTGGGAGTTCGGGGGCTCCCCTGGGAGTCCTGGCTTCTCATAGTATATTACTGACACTGAGCAGAACAGCTCCACTGGGACAGGCTGCGTGAGCTCGGCCCCTGGGGCTGGGACAGGGGGGCAAGGGGGTAATGTGAGGGCTTTGGGGCACCAGTCTCAGGACAGATGGCACAAGCCCCAAACTGCTGATGGGTCCTAGAACTCGATTTCACCGATCACGTATGAACTCTTCATACCTTACCGTGGGGAGAGCCCAGGCTGGCCCCTGGGACGCCCTGGGGTATCCCGACACCCCTTTGTGAGAGCTGGTCCATTGCACCAAAAATCACACAAGATCCAGTGCCAGTCACTGGCGCGAGGTCGAGTGCACTGCAGACCTCACCCCAAACCAACACCTGCAGCTAACCCTGTAATTAACTAACTAAAGGCTTATTAACGAGGGAAAGGGAACTAGTGAGTTATTTGCAGGTTAAAGTGGGTAACAAGTACACACATACGAGTTTGTCTGTGGTTCCAGACAGTAACAGACACAGCTGTAATGCGTCAGCTCTGTACGCCCTTTAGCGCTAACCCCGGCTAAGCAGCCTGGAGATCCCTGGCCCTCTCCAGCAGCAAAGTGACGACAATTTCTTCTTGACGGGGATTTTTATGCCCTTCCCGCAGGGCTTGAACACTGATGGGCCAAGCGTCTGTGCAGGTCCCTCTTCATAGTGGTGGGGAAAAAAATCAACCATGTCGTCCGTCCACTGGTGTCCCACGATGATTTCTCAGGGATCTACGGGTCTTCTTTTGCTGGGCACGAGCTCATGCATCTCGTGGTGAACGAGCAGCTCACGCTTGGTGTTGCTTCTCTCCTGTCTGGGGGGCTGTCCAGTTTCGTAGCAGACACATCTGTAGTTACAGAGCAAACACTGGGACATAACGCAGGATGCAGCCGGTGTGCGTGAGATGAATGCTGGCAGCAGCTCCCAAGTGTTTCATAAAGACCAAACACTGAACGCAGCCTTAGAAATGTAGCCAGGACCGGCTCTAGGCACCAGTAAACCAAGCAGGTGCTTGTGGCGGCACATTTTCAGGGGCGGCATTCCAGCCATCTTTTTTTTTGTTTTGCTTGGGGCGGCAAAAGCCTAGAGCCGGCCCTGGCAACAGCAGCACGTTGTGTGCAGGGGGCGCCCTGGGGCCGCTGCGGTTCGCGCTGTGGGGGAGCAGCGCCTGCACCTTGTGGCTGGGCCAGGCAGGCTCCGAGTGGGGAACCCTTGGGCTGGGGGCTGCCCCATGGGGCACACAGAGCTGCCTGCAGGTGCCACAGGGTGGCCACCCCCCAGTGCCTCAGCCGGGGCTGGGCGAAGCGGCCTGAGCTGCCCAGGGACTGCGGCAGGGTGGCCAGAAGCAGCAGCAGCAGCAGGGCCATAGAGGGCAGGGCGCTGCTGGGTGGGGCCTGTGTCCCGCTCTCCAGGGCTCCACTCCATCTGGGGCTACCCTGCCCCGGCTCCTAAGCCCTCTGCCGGGCAGTCCCCCGGTTCTGCCCTCCCGGGTCCTGGCCAGTCCTGGAGGCGGGAGCCCTGGCTGGAGGGACCCTGGGCTGAGGCGCGGCCAGGAGCCCTGCTGCTTACCCCAACCCTGCCAACGCCGGACCGGCTGGAGGCAAGGGGGGAGCGGGCGGAGTCAGCACTGGTGGGGGGGAGCCCAGGGCTGGGGTGGCAGGGGGTGCAAATGGGGGAGAGAGAGCCGAGGGCTGGGGCGGCAGGGGGTGCGGGTGGGGGAGGGCACTGGTGGGGGGGGTGAGACCCCAGGGCTGGGGTGTGGGGCAGCCAAAATTTTTTTTGCTTGGGGGGGGCAAAAAAACCTAGAGCCAGCCCTGAATGTAGCATCTATTTTAACACAGCTAATGCCAGGTGAGCCAGCCTGGGTGCCAGCCGTGCATTCGCCAGTGATCAGGGAGCTGCCACCTGGTCTGCCAGCGTCACACACCTTGGCTCTTGCATTGATCTGCTAATCAATCC